AAAAAAAAAAAAAAAAAAGAAAGGGCAGCCGGGAGGCTGAACATTACTTGTGACAGCTTCACAAGGTGAGGGGACAAAAGTTGGTGTCTAGAATTCACCGGGATGGGGGTCCTGGTAATTCACCCTCCACACCCACATATTGGTGGGAATGCAAAAGGTCTATGTCCTAGGAGCAGGTCTCGTACACTACAGGCTGGCTTCAGGTCATCTGGGTGACCCAGAAAAACCTCAATTTTTGAAACTGGATTAAAGTTATTCCAGCCTGCCAGCACTCCTAGGCTTGCTAGGTTCAAAAGAAGCAAATAAAAATTTTTTCGGGAACAAAATGACATCATCCCAGTCTCAAGTATTGCTACAAACAGTTTTGCAAGTATAATGTCCTGCACATATTAAAAAAACAACTGAGTGTGTTCTGCTCCTACTCAGGAGGTAGATAATCCTAAAAGAAAATGGCTCCCATTATAATATCGCATGCCAGCTGGAACACCTACCAGCATCATAGTTTTTAAAAGTCCATCAGAGAGCAGATGAGGCTGCAAACAGAACAAAACAAAACAAATGAAAATAAATTAAAATTCCAGAAAGTGATGAGCCACTCCTAAGACATAAATGTACCACAGCTGCTTCCGGAGGAGGGAAAGTAAGCCACCATTAATCAGAGGAAAAGGAGCCGGTGTGGGCTGGCATGATGGGCCAGAGTCCCAAGGAACACCAGCCACAAAACCCATCTGCACCTGCTCACCAGCCTTTCCATGGGCCTTCCCAGAAAGTGAAGGGTGAAGTAGAACATTGAGAGCGGAGGAAGAGAGCTAAGAGACTCTATCCTCAAGTGGACACACACACAGGGGCTGGCAAGGGCAGTGCAGTTAACTGAGAGAGCCCCTCTAAGAAACTATAGGCCGTTGGTGAGGCTTCCAGAGATAGGACAGGACAAGAGAGCTGTCAGAGACCTCCTAAGGTATAGGCTATGCAGGTCTGCTAATGCTGGGAGCGGGGAAGAACCGAGGAGGCGGCTCACAGGCACTCTTATCTTTCACTGTATACATTGCCTCAGCTCTCCACGGTCAGGGGCAGGAAATCAGGGTGGGGAGAGAAAACCCTGAAGCTCAGAAGACCAGAGCCAAGGGGGCTGGACTGCAGGGCAAAGAAACCTCCCCAAGGATCCAAAAGCTACCAGCCAACCCTTAAAGCCAAGTGCTATATTAGCACAATTCAAAAAGCTAACAGCTGGACCATAAAGCATAAAGAAACTTCTGGAATCTGGTACTTGCATAAAGAAACTTCTGGAATCTGGTACTTGCTGAAGGGAAGGTTCTCATCCTGCCTCAAATCATTTGAAGGCCATGGGAAGTGGAATCAAACTAAAGCCATCACAAGTTCAGTTCCATCTCAATTATATGTCAAATCGGCTCAGTCCACCACTCTCATAACAGAAGGAAGGGGTATGTCCTTCTCTAAGTCTATATTATATTTACTTAAGT